TCGACCTACTCCTTCAACGGAGTACCACGTTTCAAATCATCCGTCGCATCTGACCCTTAAACTTTTCAATCACTTTTAAAGACAAAGAAATTATTCCAAAAGCTTATCCAGCGTACTTTTAAAAAAATGAGTGATAAAAAATATCGAAAAGTAACCTTCTGTCCCTATGCTATCAAGATCGTCTTGAGGAGCATTGTTTTGCAAATGCATCCGACGGCCGCTAAAATTATCTCGGCTCGGTCTCGGTTGTCTTCTCAAGTTCTTCGTTTGCAGCAACGACTCATTTGCTTCTGTCAAGTCGTCTATCTCTCGCTGTAAGTTACGAGACTTCACTCGTTCACGAGACATTTCCTCTTCAATTTCATCTAACTGACGCCGCAGCTGACGTGCACGAACATTAGCCCTATCAGCCTAAATAAATGACTTTTTTACAATCACTCGATAATACTTGTTGCTACCACCAACATTTCCTTGAAGCGACCCGTTGGTAGGTAGGAAAACAGTGACAATCTAGTAGAAAATCGACCTGTTCCTTATGTTGCTCAGTATTCCGACGTTCGTCTTCTACTTGAATAAGTGCTTCTGAGAGCTTCCTTTCAACACGCCGATACTGAATTCACCTTGTTACAGAGAAAAAACCAAAGTTTTTGTTGAAACTCGGTCAACAATGAAAAAGAATTAACAAACTCATCTAGGCTAAAGATTCACCTGACGAGACATGTTTGCTCTTTCCTGCGCTTCCGCATTATATTGTTCTTCCAAAAACTGTATCTTAGCTTCAAGAGCGGCGATCTGCGCCCTGGATCGAGTTTGAGCAGATGTTTCCAACTCCGCAATCTTCCCTTTTAATTCTCTATTAGTCCTCTCAAGCGTTTGCTTCTCGCCATCCAATTTCTGCGCTACAGACCTCTCCATCGAAAGTTCCGTCGTCAGCTGTTCGACCTAAAACTTACCTGATGACTTTCAGAAATTTTATGAAACAGAAATGGCAAAAGTAAATAAATGAACATATGAGCAAATAAAAAGACTAAAAAACTAACCTGTGACTGAGCCTTCCTTTGTTTATCCAACGCAACCTCGCAGTTGCTCTGCTCCTCTTCTAATTCCTCCTCCAAAGATGCAATTTTAGTTTCAAATCTTCTCTTTTCCTCAGCACTCATACCGCCTCCCGCACCTCGCATTTCCTCAAGTTCGTCTTTTTCTGCCTCCAACTGCCTTTTCTGATTAAGCAAGTCCTCATTTACCTCGGTAAGGCGCGCATTTTCCGATTCCATAGACCGAAGCCTTAGAAAAACTTTAGGTCAATATATCCTCGCTAATCTCGGAAACAAAGTGACCGATATCCTGTCAAAACACATTCATCGAATTTATACAGAATAAAATCTAGTTATACCTCCGTTCAACATCCCTCAATGTTGTGGCCAGTTCCT